AATACAATGCTTCATCAGACGTATATTTGTGTAGATTAAAAAAATATTAAATCGGACAATTTCGTGTCAGAATACTTTAAAACCCATAAATCTCCATTTGAAAATTTAATAAGGTGATCAAACGGCGTACTTCACAAAGGTAAAACGTAAGAGACCAAAGCAATGTGTGAAGTTTAAAGTATAGCCGCATTAAAGACGTACAATAAAATAGGCTACAAAAGACTAACTGCGTTTCAGACAGAAAGAGAGGGAGGGGATGTTAAATTTGTCGAAATAAAGTTGGACATGCTGCCCCTTGATTCAAACCTTGAAGGATAAGCGAGGTTAAGGTGGCGGAGTTGTTCTGATATTTGTAATGTACTAACAATGACGTTTTATTTTTCACTTTACCAGGACAACAAAATAAAGACACGGTAAATGTTTAATACATTTTTGTCCAAGAAAAAACAGTCTTCATTATAAATAGTTGCAAAGGCACGCCTTGATTAACACCTAGGGTCCCTAGCTTTAGAAATATCCATATTTAAAAATCCATTTCACATCTTGTCAGCAAATAAGGCGATATTGACACAATCTTATCAAAATGAATTGATTTACTGTTGTACACAGAGGGGGAATTTTTGGCCTATTGACGACCCCTCTAGTTATAAATCTGACCCAAAGGGCCCGGTATGACAAATTCTCTCGTATCCCCGTGAATTCATAAACCTGAATGGATCAGAATTCAGAGGCTCGTGTTGACTTAATCTCCCGCGGTCTGGCGTAGTTTAATATTAAATATATATCTATACGTACACTATTGATAATGTCCTCTTTGTAGTGGAGAATTGTGGTAGTGTCTTCCATATGACACTAATGACATTGGCGATTAAAAAAAATCTTATAAAAAATACTGCATTAACATTAAGAGCAGAAGTTATAATCTCTGGCTTTTCTATGGATTATTTCAATGGGAATAACAATAGAATAAATATTTAATCAAAAATTATTAAACTTATTAAAATTTTACTTTTCATTTCAAACTCAAGAGTAATAGCATGACACCATGTGAATTATAAATACATATCTCCAGATCTCCAAAATTTTTCCATTAACAATAATATCAATGTATAGTGTGGTCTACAGAAGTGATAATCAATGTGCACATAGATAAAGCGGGAAAAACCTCCCAAATTCATAGATATGAATGTTTTAGGCTATACAATGTTTTTAGAATTCAGTATATCGTCTATGATATATCCCTATTGAAACTTTGAAATTTCGTCCTTTTTCAGTTTTACTTTCGTATTTATTTGTCCTTTGGGGGTGGGGTGGGCAGAACAGTCGGACCAGGTGAGCCATATATAAATAAGAGCATTTCTTTATTTTGGGATTTAAGTTTCTTTATGTGACCCCCAAAAATAAGGTGAAGGCCAGAGTATGGGGGTCGAAATTTTTATGCGAACAGAGGTGAAAGAAAACATTTTTAAAATCTTCTCCTGAAGATCAGCGCAGTTTACAAGTAAGGTGACTCAGGTGAGCGTTGTGGCCAATGGGGATTCACTCAGTGACCTCTGTTGTACAGAACCAGGTAAAGATGGTAAAGATATCTTGTTAATCATAAACACATTTAGTTTAATGCTTATATTTCCATTTCCATTTGTTTTCTCTGTGATAACTCTTTGAAAGCTAGGTGAGTTGATTTTTTGATAATTCTATCGGAAAGTTAATTACGCCAAGCAAGGGTCAAGCTAAGAAGGTCTAATATGCATCACTTTCTAGTTTGTTGGGTATGCAAGGGGCACCAACGATAGTTGAAAAGTGAAATAATAAGGCGATGGGCAAGATATGAAAAAGAAGACCTTGAGACTTTGTCAGAATGGATTAAATGAATCAGATCTATGTTACAATCGCGCATTAAAAGATTAAGGGGCAATATGAAAACCATCTATCCTTCTGTATTCAATAATCCAGAAGTGAAAAAAATTACTTGATAGGTTACATCATCAGTTCGTACTGATTCCTGCTATCAAAGCAGGTAACAACATTGTCTTCGTTTACGTATAATGCTCATTATATAAATTGTATTGTAGAAGAACTTGGGATTCATATCTACATGTGGTTATCCAACTTATACTCAAAGTTCCCTTTCTAATAAAGAGATTCTTCAAAATTCTATGTCATTATTGAATATTTTTAATTTCCCAAAGAACCAAAATGAATTCGAACTACCATATGGATTCCGAAACTTCATAAAAATCCTTACAAACAATTCACATAGAAACAGTGGGTTCTAGTAAATGTTCAGTCTCTTTCTTTACTCCTCACTAAGATACTGACATAAGTAAAGGAGAAACTTCAAGAGTACTGTGCAAAACTGTATTAAAGAAGTGGTGTAAATCAGATATAGATAGTTAGAAATTCCAAGGAACTTTTAGGCCATTTAAAAGCACAAGATTATACAAAAATCAACAGCTAAAAAACTTACGACTTTTCAACTTTATACACATTAATTCCCCATGATGAATTGAAGTCCAGTCTTTTTGATACCATCGACAGCTGCTTTTTCAATAAAATTTACTAAGATTGTCATTGGTCATTTCTAAAATTATTTTGTAAAAACATTCTGATTGTGCACACAAGTACTCTGAAATTGACATCAAAATGATGCTTGAGTTTCTGATTGATAGTATCTATTTCTTTTCTGGAGACCAGGTCTTCAAACAATTAATTTGAATTCCCATAGGAACCAGTTCTGTCCCATTATTAAGACCTATTTTTGAAATCATATGAAGCAGAAATTGTCCAAAAACTTGTACGTGAAGAGAAGAAAACACTTGCTGTAGCTTTCAACTCGATATTAAAATATATGGACAAAGTATTGTCAATTAACAATTTTAGAGTAATTTCCATTCTTTTGTCGCTACGAGTATATAAGTAGTATAAGGAGCCTAGCCGGGTGGGTCAACTGAGTGCACTTTTTATGCAAATGAGGTCAAAAATACTGGATTCTGATTGGCTGAGCCTCTGGGTGGGTCAAGGGAGTGCACTTTTTGGGGCTGGGGGATAGGTGGGTCAACAGAGTGCAGCCCCTGTGGGGGAAATAGGGGGTCAAGGGAGTGCAGCCCCTGTGGGGGATAGGTGGGTCAAGAGAGTGCAGATTAGGGGGGTCTGTGGGGATAGCCTGGTCAATTCATTACATATAGCCCCACTATATACGGGGTGTGTTTACACTGTGTTTACATCGGTACGCTGCTACTACGACCTGTTGCATCATCTTTTTATATCTGTTGCATCATCTTTTTATACCTGTTGCATCATCTTTTTATATCTGTTGCATCATCTTTTTTATACCTGTTGCATCATCTTATTATACCTGTTGCATCATCTTTCAAACTGGATTTCCTCAAAACAATAACAAATAACACAGATTTTGATTTTTCAATTTTTATTCACAATGAAAAAATACATACATCCAATTACATTTTCTTTTTCTTCTGTCCCTTATCAGTCATCAGGGATAGTTTCCTCTTGTTTTACCTCTCCTTTTTCTTGAGATTGTTTTTCTTCAGGCGATAAAAGGATGCGACAATATACATACACCTTATAAATAGGCCTATCTGTAAAAATTCCTATAAGCTTCTTTTCTTCTCGAAACCTCTTTTCTATCAATTGATGAAAACACAATCCAAGTTGAATTTTCCAGGAACTCTTCTCCCCACAATAAGGTCCACTCATGATCTCCAATTGGTATTTTTGATAACCGTAATATCCATTTTTTCTCTCCTTCAGACAGTATTTTTCCTCTCTGGTGTCATGATTTTTTTCATAATCTTCAGGATCCAATTCCACTCTTTTTACCAACCAAAATTTTTTGTACTTTAAATTCGGTGGCCATTTTAAATAATTTCTGTTGCGTTCATAAAAATTCTGGATGGCTTCTTCTTTAGTTTTCATCCATTTTCCAAAATGTTCTCCGTTAATAGACCAACAATACTCCGTTTCCTCTGTCATATTTTTTGTCTGCTCCATTTTTTTTTTTACCTGTGTCCAATTCCAAGTACTCACACAGAATGATCCTTCATGTTCATCTCCGCTTTATATACCTTTACTGTTGCATCATCTTTTTTATAGCTGTTGCATCATCTTTTTTATAGCTGTTGCATCATCTTTTTATATCTGTTGCATCATCTTTATATACTTGTTGCATCAACTTTTTTTTATACCTGTTGCATCATCTGTAAGGGGGGACCGTGTGCAAAAATACCATAGACTTACCTATGCATTGTGACGTCATCCACTGTATAAATACAGGTTTTCTCCGACTTTCGGCTCATTCTACAGTCAGAGCCAGCTCCTACTGGGGTCATGGATTCTACTAGAGAAAAACAGGTACAGGCTCAACGAATATTGAAACGAAAAAGTACCGAGAGAGAAATAGATTTACCACCTAAACCCATTTCTGAGTATTATCATATGAGACTAGCTCAAGAAAGGACCTCTCCAAAATTTAAAGCGCATGAAAATAGATATGTCGTTCATTTGGATGAATTTCCAGAAGAAGAAGAAAACACAGGATTCGTTCGGCGATTATTCAGAAACATGTTACAAGACTTCAAATCTGAAATGCAATGTAATCCTAACGATTACCTCCGCCTGAACCTTCATCACGATTCTCTGGAATCAGACATTTCTTACGAGTTTACCCAATGTAAAGATTTAAACGAAGACGTCATTTTTAAAAAAATACAAGACGTGCAACAATCCAAAAAGGAGTTCAAACTGGGGACGGCTCCACGGAATTCCAACTGCTTCATATCGAGAATCCGCAGGGGAGTGGTGGAGACAGAACCAAGCATCTACAAGTGAATAAAGAAATTTTCAAGAACAATAAACAATCCATCGTTCGGATCGTCAATCCCCATGATAAATTTTGTTTAGCTAGAGCCATCGTCGTCACTCGATTACACAGTCAAAAACCGGAACATCCAGACCCGGAATGGGAAAAACGTTGGCTCCGTATGCGGAAGGGAGATAGCCAATCCTTAGACCAGAAACGAGAAGCCATAGCTCTCATGGAACAGGCCGGGTGTGATATTACTCAAGCGTGTGGAGCCCTAGAGTGGCCCAAATTACAACAGGTATTAGCTCCTCAGTATCGTCTGAAAATATTTCAATTCAAATCTACTTCCACTAAACTCTGTTTAGAGCGCATCTTCAAAGGCTGGGGAGATGGAACTTGTTTGAACATTTTGTTAGACAACCGTCATTACGATGCCATCATATCCATGCCGGGAGTAACGGGGAACCAATATTACTGTGATCATTGCGACGTGGGGTACAGGAAGGTCACAGACCATCGGTCCAAATGCCCTCATCGCTGTACCTTTTGTTTAGGACATCACCCTAATTGTCCCGATGAAGGGATCGAGATTAAATGTCGGGAATGCCAAGGAATGTTTAAGAACAGGACCTGCTACGAAAATCATTTAAGACCTCATAGTAAGAAAAACACCACTACTGTCTGCAATTTAATGGGGCTATGCGAGAAGTGTCAGTCCTGGATACCTAAGAATTTATTACCTCATCACAAATGCGGAGATCAGAAACAGTGTAAGATCTGTAAGAAAATCGTCGATACCGATCATCGGTGCTACGTACAACTGAAGCCCAAGAAGAAGAAGAAGAAGGGAGAAGACACCTTAGAGTTTTACATTTATTTCGATTTCGAATGCACTCAGGAATCGGGCATTCACGTTCCTAATCTATGTGTGGCACATCGCGTCTGTCAACATTGCGATGGCTTACCCATAGACCAACCCTGTCCTCATTGTCAACACATGGGACCCCGTCAGCACCTATTTCAAGGCCCAGACACCTTAAAGAAGTTCATGGACTGGTTATTACAACCTACTTCAGGTACTAAGAATTCCACTTTAGTACACGACGAGGCCATCGTCATCGCCCATAACTTCAAAGGATACGACGGACAATTCATTTTGAATCACCTGGTGCATTCCTCTTGCCTGAAACCTAACGTGATCATGAACGGCAGTAAGATCTTGTACATGGAAATATCTGGACTCAAATTCATCGACTCGTATAGTTTCTTAACTTTTCCTTTGGCCAAGATGCCCTCCGCTTTCGGATTCAGCGAATTGAAGAAAGGTTATTTCCCTCACTTTTTTAATACGGAACAGAACCAGAATTACGTGGGACCTTATCCACCGACAGCTTTCTACAAACCGGACGAAATGTCTACCAGCGGACGACAAGCTTTTTTCCAATGGTACGACCAACAGAGGGGAAAAGTGTTTGATTTCCAGAAAGAGTTTGTAGGGTATTGTATCTCGGACGTCGACATTCTACGACGATGCTGTGCACAATTTAGAAGCACCCTCAAGAGGTTGGTCAACGTGGACCCTTTCCAGGAATCCATCACGTTTGCCAGTGCTGCTAACTTAGCCTACCGTCGAAATTTCATGCCTAAAGACACCATTGCCATCATTCCGAACCTCGGGTATGAACCGGCACGACAATATTCGGCCAAAGCCTGTCGGTGGCTCACCTGGATGAGTCATCAGAGTGGATGTCACATACGACATGCCAGAAACGGAGGCGAAGTCCCGATCGGAAATTATACCGTCGACGGATACCAGGAAGCGACTCGTACCGTCTACGAATTTTACGGGTGTTATTGGCACGGATGCCCCACTTGCTATCCCAGTTTACAGACGGAAACTCATCCTCACCGGACCCAATTTACTTACCAACAATTACACGAGAAAACTCTCAGAAGGACTGCGGATTTAGAGGATATGGGGTACAACGTGTGTAGTATCTGGGAGCACGATTTCGATCAGCAAGTGCAACAAGATGAGAGTTTACAGCAATTTGTACGAGATCTGGACATTCCGGATCCTTTGAAACCTCGAGAAGGTCTGTACGGAGGCCGGACCAATGCCACTAAATTATATTGTGAAGAAGGGGACATGAGATACGTGGACGTCTGTTCCTTATACCCTTACGTGTTGAAACACAGACCCTTTCCCCTAGGGTATCCCGAGATCATCACAGACGACTTCCAGGACGTGAGAAATTATTTCGGTCTCATTCACTGTCGGGTCTTACCACCCCGAGGTCTCTTTCACCCCGTATTACCTTATAGGACGGGAGGCAAGTTATTATTTCCCTTATGTCGCACGTGTGCCGAACAACAAGACTCTACTTCTCAACATCCATGTCAACACACCGACCGGGAACGTAGTCTCACGGGTACTTGGGTGACGAGCGAATTACATAAAGCCCTAGACATGGGCTATACCTTAGAGCAAATTTACGAAGTGTGGCATTTTAAACAAAGCAGTCAAGACTTATTTAAAGAGTACATCAATACCTTCCTCAAGATCAAACAGGAAGCGTCCGGATTTCCCCCCGACTGTAAGACCTCAGAACAAGAACAAGATTACATTCGACAAATCTTCGACAAAGAAGGATTCATGATGGATAGGATCAGTATCGAGAAGAATCCAGTGAGAAGAACCATTGCTAAACTCTTTTTAAATTGTCTGTGGGGAAAATTTGCTCAACGATTGTTATTACCCAAAGTCAGATACTTGGACGAAACAGAGGAATTACACCAACTCTTACAAAATTCGACTCTCGACATCAAGGGCATGCGACTCTTAGTCAATAAAGAAGATTCCAATGAAGACAAGATTCTAGTGAATTTTCAAGACAAAGAGGAATTCGTCGAAGAATGTCCCTTTGGAAACGTGATCCTGGCTTGTTTTACCACCGCCTATGCCCGCTTACATCTCTACGAGACTTTACAACCTTTAGAAGAACGGGGCCTTTATTTCGATACGGACAGTATCATTTACCAACATATAGAAGGAGCTTTAATGGACCGACGAATTAGACGGGGATCTCATCACTAAATTCATGTCGGCAGGTCCTAAAAATTATGGTTTTCGAACGGACAAAGGAACCGAGACCCTTAAATGCAAAGGGATCACTCTCAACCATCGAACCTCTCAGTTGGTGTGCCCAGACACTTTAGAAAAAATGCTCAAGGGAAAAAATAGAGGAATTAAAAGTCCCTTATGACAACAAAATCCAGAGGACCCGTGATCATGAACTCGTGAACAAACCTTCAGAGAAAACGTATAGAATTGTGTATGATAAGAGACAAATTGTAGAGAATTATAACACTTTACCTTATGGTTATTAATATGCTGATATGTTTGTTTGTTTGTTATTACAAATAAAAAATTGAATGTTTTTATGTGTTGTTGTTTTTCTTCTTCCCTATAAAAAGGGGGGCAATACGAATCAAAAGTTCAGTCATGACTGAGAAATTGCTAGATCAACCTATGCGTTATCCCCAGTATGCTCGGCTCTCAAAGAGAGAAGCTACTTTTGAGCACGGATGGCCAGAACCTCTCTTAGGAAAAATACCAGACCTAGCTCGAGCCGGGTTTTACTACAGGGGAGTGAAAGATAAGGCTACCTGTTTTCATTGTGGAATGATTTTTAGTAATTGGGATCCCGAGGACGATCCTTGTGTAGAACATGCTTATTGGAACCCCAATTGTCCTTACATCAATCTGTATAAAGGACGAGGGTGGGTGATGAATGTGTTCATTGCGGGTTTAGATCAGCAGGGATATAAACCTTTACCTGAGATTAAACCTCTACTGAACCCAGAACCAGACGTCCAGGCTCGAGGAAAATGTCACATTTGTTTAGACGAGGAATTACAAATCGTTTTTCTACCTTGCGGACACGTATGCTGCTGTGCTTTGTGTGCTCCTTCTTTTCAGTTTTGCCCCATCTGTCGAGGTGAGATTCAACAGTCCAAACGCCTATTTCTGTGCTAACTATAAATAAAAGGACAGAACTCAAATTTGGTGTTTTCTATTGTTAAGCAAGCTCCTCAGTCCTAGATATTTTTTGTCACACTCAGTGCTAAAAGAATGAGATTATTGAATTATTCCTAATTAAAAATTCTCTATTGGTTTTTTCCTCTGCAAGTTAAAAAATAACTACACCTGAGAGTCTATATAAAAGGAGACCTACAAATCCTAGAGATCATTTCTGATCTGAGTGAGGGACAGAGCACACATCATGGAAGTTTTAACCTCAGAGTATCTTTGGAAAATAGTAGAACCAGAAGGGACTACTTTAAAGGGAGAATGGATGAAAAACAAAGAGGAATGTATTCAAGATTTCTTTGATAAGAATCCAGGACAAACAGGTCTCAATGAAATCTACCTGTATAAGAGAATAAAGTTACCTGATCCCATAGGGGACAGCATCCTGCTCTTAGCAGGACCCAGACATCCCAAGTATCGGGAATTCAAATGGAAAATCAAATATGTCTTGCCTCACCAAAGAGAGGGACCCGAAAGCACTTTGTTTCAAGGGAAATGGATAGAAAAACCCGGAGATTGTATTAAAGATTATGGTAAGAAAGTGACCCTAAAAGGATACAATATCAAGGCCTGTGGTAACCGTTGTGAAACAGATTATTTGTACATGAGGAGACCGTTCCCCATACAAAAAGAACTGAAGAAAAGTTTTGAATGTTTGTTATTATGATGTTCTTGTTGTTGTTATGAATAAAAATAAAAGAAGAAAACCCAAAAATTCTAGTATTGTTAGTTATTTTCCTATAGACACACAAATAAGCGCTCTCTCTATACATTAGGTTTTGTAAGGATGACGTCACAATCACGGATTTGAATCGCTGCCAAGTATTTTACCTGTGTACATAAAAAAAAACTTAGGTCTATCGTATATGTTTTGCACACGGCGCAAGTATTTACCTGTGCAGTCAGCATAAACAAAACGTAGGTCTATCGTTATATTTCTTTGCACACGGCTCTTACAGTAAAGGTATATATAAAGCGGAGCTTTATTCAAGAGGTATATTACAAAAAACTCTCTCATTCTGAAAAAGGACACGGAACAAGTCAGACGTGTTTACCTAACTATGCAGTATCGTTGGTATTGTGAGAGTCCCATTAGTCAGTGTATGTACATGTAAGGAGGGTGGATGAAAACTAAAATAGGAGCCATCATGGATTTCTATGAAAATCATCCAGCAGGTCCTTTATTTTTGTTGCTAAAGTATCTCACTGAACATGGTCATTAATTTAAACAGGTATAATTTTTTTTTACTTCTTCAATTTTAAGGTATAAGGTCAAAATGATTCAATTTCACATGAACACAGTTCAAAGAAAATAAGTCTGTCTAACATAAAACTGGAAAAAAGCCATAAGCTTTTTCTAAAAGATGCTGTTTGTATTGAGATTGTGCTAGTGGTTACAGAAAACTTAAGGAGAGGATAGCCTATTATTATTTTTTTATTTATTCAATTGGACAAAAAAAAAACCACATGTGGTACAAGTCATACATATAGTAAACAAATATAAGATTAAAAATGCAAACCTGCATGGCTTTTCAGTTTCACTCCTGTTTATGTATGGGTGAGGTTTATATATATTATTCCATTATTAATGATTTGGCATAAAAAATGCATTCAGTTGTATGCAGTTCACCTATTAGAGAGTCTGGTAATCAAAAGGAAAAAATTTAAATGTTCAAATTTAAAAAAAAAAAAAAAGAAAGAAACTTTTAGAAAAATTTTTTTTTTTATTAATTTAATTCAATTTTATCATTCATTTTTAAACTTTAAAATTCATGTTTTCCTTGGACAAAAAGAAAGGGATTCAACCACCTCTCTCCCCTCTCCCTTGGGTGTTGGGTGAGGCTAACTTTGCACCATCCTTTTTTTTCCATAAAGATTATTTACCCATCATAGCCTCTATCTACATGAAATGTCATCAGTTAGAAAGGAAAAAAGGGTTCTTCCAATGTTCCTTAATTAAGTATGGATATATAGTTTTAAAAAATTATGACTACTTGGAAATGTATATGTCTTTTGTCTTTACCATCCCTTATAACAGAGATTCTTCAAAATTGCATGAAGAATTTCATGAGTTTAACTTATGATAAGAGCATTTTCTTAGGTTAACAAGTGTATGGATGATAGCTAATGCTGAATCATTATATATTTGATATTTATGGATATTCAAGAGTGTATGATATTGAAACTTTAAATATGTATAGGTCAGGCAATTTTTGAAATTTTGATCATCAGAAAATTATATTTGACTGTATTAAAACCAGTATTTATAGATAAACATTAAGAAGATTACACAAACACTGTAAATCATTCAAAAAATAATAAAACATAAAAAATAAAATGTGTTTTATTTTTTTTAAATGTAAACTGATATATTTCAATAAAAACCACACATATAGACTTTCCCAAATTCCAATAAAGTAAATATCCATACCTTTTAAACTAAACACATTCTATTCATCTTAAATATTCATGCAGAATAAAAGGTGAATTCCCAGAACTCTTACTAATCTCTTCTCCAATGTTGAGTGAATGTGTTCAAGTACGACTTAATTTTCTATGTAAATGGCGAATCTCGGCAAGATTTTACCCCAGTGAAAAAGGCTTGTAATCCACCGTGTAGGTCGTTTAAAGTTGTTTCACATTGTTTATGATTGTGATTATGTTATCCCTCACCTATATGATTAATGTCAGCTATGCTAAATAACCCAGTTCTGTGTAATTTGAGAGAATGTATTGACATGTGGTTAAAGTATGGCGTGCTATTCATGTCATCATTTAAAGTCGATCCTAAATAAATCTGTCTTAAAAAATACATTTTACGAATGACATTTAATATGATTGATTAGAGTATAGGTATCCATATATAAGAGATATTATTTTGCATTACATTTAAACATGTTTTTCTGTCCTGTTTGTCTGTCAATTGTTGCTTTACTTCCTTTGTAAAATGAGGTTAAATTGAGTATCACTGAATATTGTATGCTTTTTTTCAGGATCAGCTAAGATGTTGTTTCACTGGATTATTTAATTGGGCATATAATTGGATAATTCTGGTAAGTTTGTCTTTGTTTTGTTTACATTTCCTATGAAGGTCATCTTTGCATTTAATCATAATTATGTAAAGTTCTGTTTTGAATGTAAATGTACTGTATTTATCCTCATTTCATGTGATTTACACTTGTACATGTATAACCTGCATGTAACTCAGAGTGCATTTAATATTTCTATGATGGGTCATTCTATGATTGAATTTCAATCAGAAAAATGTTCTCTAAATTTTGGTAAAATATATGGTGTCTTTTACATTTCTGTCCCTTTTGTCTTTTAAATTATTGCTTTACTTACATTGTAAAATGAGGTTAAATTGAGTATCACTGAATATTGTATGCTTTTTTTTCAGGATCAGCTAAGATGTTGTTTCACTGGATTATTTAATTGGGCATATAATTGGATAATTCTGGTAAGTTTGTCTTGTTTTTTAATTGTTTACATTTCCTATGAAGGTCATCTTTGCATTTAACCATGATTATATGATTAATTTAATTACTGTGTAATACTTATGTGATCTGATATCTCTGACTTACATTCATATAAGCACAGTTTTATTTTGTCTAAAATATACTAAGGAAACTTCATAATGTTAATAAGTCCTATTGTATAAATTATATGATATAATGTCATAATTCATTATGTATGTTACCCATGGCCATGGAATTCAGACTTACTAAATTGTGATCTATAAGGAATGTAATAAAAGGAAAAGAAGCATTTACCAAAGATTAATCATAATAGTCATTTACTTTTGTTTTGATTCCAAATATGTGCTATATATGGCATACATAATCATTTCATTTTCACTTTTGTTTCTTAGTAATGAGCTTTTCAAAAAATGTAGGACTACATGTTGTACTGTGATGATGCTAAAAAATAAAATGTATTTTTCTGTATGCAGTTCTGATAGGTATTAAACCAAAATTGAATCTGCCGTTAATAAAAAGTCTTTT